CTAGACTATAGACTAGACTATAGACTAGACTTAGGAGTTTCCACTTGTTTTTGCAACAAACTGTGAACACCCCTACATTTTTATTTATTTTATTAAGATTTACTTTAAGTGAGTGAGTGAGTGACTGACCAACAAATGAATAGTTCACTTTAATTTTTTATTATTTTATTTTTTTTATACTAAAAGCGTGTGAATGTCGACAATGAAGATGATGATTATTTTTCATAAAAAAACACTTTATTGTGGATGATGATGATGATGATGATGGTCAATTGTTGTGGTGTTGTATTTTTGCTGGTTGTTAAATTTTTTTCAGTTTCTTTCTAAATAATGATGATGATAAAAATGTTGTTTTAAACAAAAATTTTAGTCTCGTTTTTTTCGAAAAAAAAAAATTAATTTTTATTGTTGTTGGTTTTGTTTTCTGTGTTTAAGTTGCGTGATGCTTTTTTTTAGTACAATAAACTACTATAACACAACGAAAAAAAAAATTATATATAATACTGAATGTATGTATTTTTAAAAAAAAAGCGAAAATGAAATAAATTTAAGTATTTGCAGGTGTTCAACATAGAAAGAAGTATATAAAAAATATATATAAAAAACAACAAATACGAAAAAAAAGCTAAATTATAATTTATTATGAAATTTAAATTTAACAAAATTAAAAAAACAAGATATAACATGAAAAATAAATATGGTTTTGCAGCTTTACATAGTATTTATTAAAATTTTGTTATAAAAAACAATTTTATGGAATGACAAAGAAATTTTTTTCAAAATCCCCAAAATCCCAATATATTTAAATAAGCTTAAATTGTTTAGATATTAACTACAAATTAACAAATTTAAACATTTTAAACAAATAAGAAATTTTTTCTTAAATTCCCAAACAATTTTGTAAAATCCCCAAAATACCATTTTATTAAAACTAGTCAAAATAGGCTTTACTTTAAGTAAAATTACATTAGAAACATAAACAATTAAAATTTTCATAAATTTTTTATAAAAATTTTCGCACATTGGGGCAGTATTGAGTTTACCAATCCTCTTAATGAACTAACATAGACTTCAATTTAGGGCTCACCATTAAAATGAAAAACAGGCTTTGGATAAAAACCTGTTGTAAGACCTACTAAGAGGGCAAAAGTATTTTGTAAAAAAAGACAATTTGACAAAAACCTTTTATCACCTTTTACACTGTCCCAAAAAAAAAAAAAAAAAACAAATAAATATTCTTACTAAAATGACCTCATTTCATGCATTGTTAAATTTGTATTTACCCGTAGCGGACATGTAAATTTAACAAAAAAAAAAAATTAAAATAATTTAAAATAAAATACAAATCAAAAATAAATTATACATGTGTAGACTTGTAAATGTACATACATGTGTTAAATTTATTTTATACTACTGTATAAATGTATTGTAATTTAAATTAAATATTTTTTTTTTTTTTAAATTTCAATGTATTGTTGTGTTGTGATCATCTGTGAACAACACCAACAATACCTTACGGTGCGTTTACATACGTTGTTTGTCTGTTAGACTGACAACTCATAAAAAAAATCAACCATAAATTTCAATTTTATGACAAAAAGTAAATGAAAAAACCAAATTCAGCATCATTGTCTCTCTCTCTGACTGTGTCAATGTGCAAAATTATTCTGATATTTTTGCCATTTTTTATCAAACAGCCTTTTTAGTAAGGCAAACTAGGGCGGCGATCTCATTTGTATATAAATTTTATAAAAGTTATATAAACTTTTGTACATTATGTTAATTTCTTAAAGAACTTTAACCTGATATTGTCATCCGTCATTCTGTCTATTAAAATGCCTTTATATTAAGAAATTATGGCAAAAATGTTAAAATATGATGTTAATTCTTAAGCCTTTTTCTTAGTTTAAACCAGGCACACTTTTTTTGTGAAATTCCTAAAAACTTTTGGAAAATCCCCAAAATCCCAATTTACAGTAAAAGCAGCAAATTATTATAAAAATTAAGAAGAATACTATTAAATGTAATAATAATTCACTATATTCCTCATATTTTAACAAAAAAACATAAATTTTTAAATTCCTAAAAACTTTTGAAAAATTCCCAAAATAACAATTTACAGTAAAAGCACTAAAATGCCTTTAGATTAAGAAATTAAGGCAAAAATGGTAAAATATGATATTAATAGGAAAGCTTTTTCTTAGTTTAAACCAGGCACTCCTTTTTTGTGAAATTCCTAAAAACTTTTAGAAAATCTCCAAAGTCCCAATTTACAGCAAAAGCAACAAATTATTATAAAAATTAAGAAGAATACTATTAAATGTAATAATAATTCACTATATTCCTCATATTTTAACAAAAAAAACATAAATTTTTAAATTCCTAAAAACTTTTGGAAAATCCCCAAAATAACAATTTACAGTAAAAGCATTAAAATGCCTTTAGATTAAGAAATTATGGCAAAAATGTTAAATATGATGTTAATTGGAAAGTTTTATCTTAGTTTAAATCAGGCACACTTTTTTTGTGAAATTCCTAAAAACTTTTGGAAAATCCCCAAAATCCCAATTTACAGTAAAAGCAGCAAATTATTATAAAAATTAAGAAGAATACTATTAAATGTAATAATAATTCACTATATTCCTCATATTTCAACAAAAAAACATAAATTTTTAGATTCCTAAGAAAATTTAAGAGAATCCCCAAAATCCCTTGTCATTTAGATAGATTAGATTATGTTACAATGCATATATATTGATAGTTTAATAATATTCTTACTGAAAACAAGAAAATTAGAAAATAAATCGCTTTTTTTCCAGATACTTTTCAAATTCCTAAAAAAATTCGAAAATTCCCAAAAATGTCCATTCCTCCAAAAACTTTATAATTCATTACTTTAAAAGCAATTGAATTGAACTATTGCAAAATTAAATAAAATTCTTATTCATATTTAATATTTAACAAGTTTATTAAACATTTTAAGCAAAACACAACATTTATGACAATTCCCAGAAAAATCTATGAAAATCCCCAAAAATTCTCTTTAAAATTGTTCAAATTGGTATAATTACACAAAATTCTGTTAAAAAAAGTTGAAAACTTTAAAAATCATTATATAACACAGATTTCCCACCATTCCCAACAATTGAATGGAAATCCCCAAAATGTTTTTTAATTGAAAATCGCTTAAATTAGTATAATTAGAACAGATTTCTTTTAACATATTATAAAAAATAAATATTGTCATCAGATTACACATTTCTTGTCATTCCCAAAAATTTTATTAAAATCCCCAAAATTTCCTTCTTCTCTAAAATTGTTCAAAGTGGGTATAATTAATTAAAATTCTTTTTAAATAAGGTAAAAACTCATTGTTTAAGTTGCAATTAACTTCCAAAAGTTTTTTGAAAATCCCCAAAATATCTTTTCATCGAAAATTGCTAAACTTAGTATAATTGAACAGATTTCTTTTAAATTATCATAAAAAATAAGAATCGTCATCATATTACACATTTTCCCGAAATTCCCAAATTTTTTATGAAAATCCCCAAAATTCCTTTTTGCTCTAAAATTGTCAAAATTGCTATAATTAATTAAAATTCTGTTAAAATAAGGTAAAAACTTTAAATATCATTGTTTAAGTTGCATTACCTTAATTCCCAAAATTTGTGTAAAAATCCCCAAAATGTCTTTTCATCGACAATAGCTAAAATTTAGCTCTAAAACTGTTAAAATTTGCTATAATAAATTAAAATTCTGTTAAAATAAGGTAAAAACTTTAAAAATCATTGTTTAAGTTGCATTTGCCTTAATTCCCCAAAATTGTTTAAAAATCCCCAAAATATCTTTTCATCGACAATAGCTAAAATTTAGCTGTTAAAATTTGCTATAATTAATTAAAATTCGGTTAAAACAAGGTAAAAACTTTAAAAATCATTGTTTAAGTTGCATTACCCTTAATTCCTAAAATTTTTGTAAAAATCCCCAAAATATCTTTTCATCGACAATATAAAACTGTTAAAATTTGCTATAATTAATTAAAGTTCGGTTAAAATAATGCAAAATTTTAAAAAATCATTGCTTTGGACACATTTCCCTTAATTCCCAAAAATTTTTAGAAAATCCCCAAAATAGCTATTTGTTAAAAAAAAAGCTAAAATTTCTGTTGGAATAAGGTAAAATTAGAACATAGCATTCAAAAACTTTGTATATCATATTAAAAATCATTGTTTAAAGTTGAAGTTTCCCTTAATTCCCAAAAATTTTTAGAAAATCCCCAAAATAGCTATTTGTTAAAAAAAGCTAAAATTTCAGTTTGAATAAGGTATAATAAAATAAACTAGAACATAATATACAAAAAAATTTTATAACACAAATTTTTCCCAATTCCCAAAAATTTTATAAAAATCCCCAAAATTTTTTTCACTTTAAAAAAAATCTAAAAAAATACATCTCATCATGTTATCAGTTTACAGTTTCTTTAATTGTCATACTATTTTCATTTATTTTTAAATTGATTTTTTTTGCAAAATGTTCAAACGCCATTTATTTTTATACGTGCATTTTTTTTCTATTTGTTTAAGCGCCATTTTTCTTTGTAGTAGCAGAACTTTGCACTTTTGTTTGTTGCTAATGTTTTTGTTTGTTTTGTTTTTTTATTTTAAATATGTAGTATTTAAAAATAATTTGTTTAGTGAACTGCATAACAACAACAATTAAATTAATTTTTTTTTTATATTTGAAAAAAAAAAAAAACAAAAACAATACATTAGAAATAAACAATACTAATATATTAAACGTCAAACTGTAAGATTCTCTCAATGTAAGGGTTAATATTATGAAATTGTAAAAATGAACACGTGCAATATTATAGGAAATTGTTATTTAATGATAATTTTAAAACAACAATAATAATAATAACAATTTTATAAAAATTTTAAGAAGATTTTTGTTTCAAAACTTTAATAATAATTTGTATTTTTCTTGTGGTTTCTTTGCAGTTAATTAATGAAAAAGACTTGGACAGCAGCAGCAGCAGGCAGTCATGTTAGATTTTAACAAAAAATTTAAATATTTTTTTTTAATAATTTTAATTAAAAACCATAAATTCCTCATTTAATTAAACAAAAAACAAAAAAATCCTTTATACAAAAGGGGAAAAAAAAGGCTGCAAGTTGGTATCTAAAAACACAACTCGAATCTTTAAAAAACTCCCTACAAAGCAGTCTTTTTTTATGTAATAAAAAAAAAACAATTTATTTAGTTTTTAAACTATTTTTTAATAAAAATTTAATTATATTTATAGTTTTAGTTTAGTATAAAAAAAAAAAAAACATTGCAGACATTTAACACAAAAAAAAAACAAAAACTAATTTTATGCTTAATTATTAAAAATAATTGGAAATTTCATGAATAATAAAAAATAATAATTTAGTTTAAAAGAAAAAAAATCATTTTGCAAGTAATATATTTAAAAAAAAACTTAACAAAGCTTTAATCATTTAAAAAAAAAAAATTTTAAATTTCAAATTTTTTGTTTTTTTTTAAGTTTTTATATAATTTTAAGTTTTTTTTTATTAAGCAAAGCAATAATAACTTGATATAAATATAAATCCTATTAATTTTAACAATTTTTTTTTTAACTAAAAATGCAATTTTATTTTAACTTTTTGTTTTAAGGCAGAAATTCCTATTATTATTTTAAAAATCGCTTTAATATGTTTTCCCTTTTTTGTAACTAAAACTTTTTTTATTTTTTTTTTAACTAATAATATATATATTTTTTTATTTTTTATATGTTCTGTGATCTGTAGCATACATTAACTTTATAATAATTATTATGGATTATTTTTAAAAATTTTTCTTTTATGTACAAAGTGTATAATAGTGTTTTTATCTTCTCTTTTTTTGGTAAAATTTAAATTTCTTTTAAAAACTATTTGTAACTCCTTTATACTAAAATTAATTATTGGAAAAGAAATTACATATAAAAAAAAACGAAAAAAAAAAATATTATTTAATAAATAAAAATAAAATAAATATCTAAAATATAACTGAAAATATTTAAACATTTGATTTTTCTTTAAAACACTTGGGGGGAACTTAGTTTCATAATGGTTATACACATTTCACCTTAGTTACCATACCCAGTAGTTCCAGGCGACAATCTCCCGCCTATTACTTAAAATGGCACTTAGTTTATCCACTACACATTCGAACAGCTAGTTGATTTGTTATTTTAACCTGGACATGTCCTAGGAGGATTCAGTTGACTCTTTGTAGACAAGAATGTTGAAGTGCTTTACGTGAACACCTGCCCAGAGGGCCTTATTTCACGGTGGTCTTTTTCATACACTGGGTAGCCTTGAGAACGGTCTACCAACGCCCCTTCAATCTTTAATGAAGAAATTAGGTGGCAATTTTTGTAGATGGCTAAGCCAGTCCATGAACAAGCACTCTGCTGATGTACTCGAGCTATCTAATCTCTTGCCATAGTAGCGCCGTTGGGAGAGGACAGGTGTTATCTAACCCCGACAAAGGAAAACAGGGCTTTTAAAATAAGCTAGGATTACATAGTACCTTATGTTTAATAGAAGCGTCCCACTTTTTTCCAAATTTTTTTATATTAAAGAAATAGTGTAAATTAGACGACTAGATCTAAAGTTATAATCTTTTAAACTGTTAAAAATCATTTCGGGCCATGTTTTATTAATCAAATTTAAACATAAACATTAAGTTTTTTAAATTAAAATATATTTGCTTTATTTATAATGAAAAAACGGTTAACCGTTTTTTTCTGAATTTGAAAAATATCAATCGGTTTTTTTAAAGGTCAACTATTCAAACTATTCGAAAACCGGATTTTGGATAACCGGTTTTTGGAAAATGTCGAATAATCGATCACCCTAATAAATACCATAAATATACTGAAACTCCTGAGTTTTTAAGCTTTAGGTTAAGATATTATGAAAAGAAAGGGTTTATTTCAAAGTTTCCACAATGGACTTTCAGATGGTATACAACATTTTTAATAAAAGAAAGTTATCTTGGAGCTGTTATAATGTCTCCAAAAGGGGCAAAATTGACGTGTTTTCAAACTTCAGGACAATATATCTCAAATCCCCGATGTGATATAGAGAAATTTAAGGTCAGATTTAGCGCAGCTCAATAGTATTACTTGGTCTTAGGGTTTCGAATTTTGTCCGATCCGATCTCACGGATCTTACCGATCTCAAAACTAGATGTGTATTTTTCTAATCTTTAGATATATGCACATACTTAGATATCCAAAACTATTTTGTTTGATACAAATAGTTGTAAGACAATAGTCAACTTCAGTTTCAATTTTTTCAAATCGTGCAATTTTGAAATTAACCAAATTCACACGCAGCACAAGCATTTAATTACATAGTCAGTTAATACATACTAATGAATAATTTTACAGTTATAAATCTCTGTTCTGCCTTTATCTTAAAACCCTAAAAACGTTTTTACCATAATTGGCAGACCACCTTCTTTGATTTTTGTTGCTTTTTTAGTTTTGTTTTTCTGTTCTATGGTTTAACATTTAAACAATTTCATAGAATTTTCGTAAGAGAATATTAATTAGTGGTAATTAATATTCAACCTAGATAAAAAGAGAATACAAGAGAAAAACAACAACAACAAAAATTCATGTGAAAAGAAAAACACAGCAACCAAAATGATGACCAACCCACATACGGAAAGTAATTTACACCTGACCTTACAATGCAATAGAAACGAGTGCACAAAACAAAACAACACAACATGAGTAATAGTCACACCAGTCAACTAACTTAACTACCTACATATTTGTACTACATACAACAACATTCTATTGGGCACTTAGTCAACAACAACTACAATAGTAATAACAAACTTAACGGTCTCATAGTAAATTTCATTACCTTTTATCGAAACGTGTCTCTAATAAAGAAAAAAACGAGAGAAATGAAACAAATAATAATAAAAATGATGACGACGCAGAAGAAAGTTTTAGAACAACGATCGATCGCAAACACACAAGTGTTCACTCACATCACAGCCGTTCACAGAGTTAAGAAACTCACAGATAAATGTGGACATTTTTAGGTTGTTTGTTAAATAAACTAAACAGAAATCCATACATTCATACTGAGAAATATAAATTCTCACGAAGATCTTGCCACATTGTACCAGGTAGAATGAATGTTAGTAGTAGTGGTTGTTGTTTTTGTTGTTGCTAGTAACACTAACTAGACACATACATGTGGTATGTTTGTATCTTAAGACGTAACCAGTACTATGAATTACCTGTTGTTATAGTTATTGCTGTTTGTTGTTATTATAACAATGATAACATTTTAAGTATACAAACGATTGTTGTTTTTTTTTTTATTCTGTTGCTGCTACTTAATTTTATTTGTGTTGCACGTGTGCGAAAAAAATACTTTAAACTAGTGAGGAAAATATAAGAAACCCAGAAAGAAACAAGTTGAAATACTCTCGATACTTTTTCTTCAGCAAACCATTACGACTAAAAACAAATAAACAAATAACAACAACAAAATAACAGCGAACATCTTCAGTGTTAGAATGGAAAAGTCCCAGAAGTTGACGAGTTCAAAGATTAAAGGAAATATAAACAAAATAATTAAGTAAAAAGATTTTAATGGCAAAAATAACAAAAGATTTCATTTGGTTACATTGTTTGTGTAGGGTGTTTAAACAGGAGGTGGAATTTCCAAATTTTGAAATAACATGTTGTTAAAGGATTTACGCGAAGTTATATGTATTTTAAACTGAACAAAATATTTCATATTTATCCAACCTAATATATGGTCCATTTTTATGCCATCCTTATGTCTATAGTCTATTCCATAGTCTAGTCTATAGTCTAGTCTATAGTCTAGTCTATAGTCTAGTCTATAGTCTAGTCTATAGTCTAGTCTATAGTCTAGTCTATAGTCTAGTCTATAGTCTAGTCTATAGTCTAGTCTATAGTCTAGTCTATAGTCTAGTCTATAGTCTAGTCTATAGTCTAGTCTATAGTCTAGTCTATAGTCTAGTCTATAGTCTAGTCTATAGTCTAGTCTATAGTCTAGTCTATAGTCTAGTCTATAGTCTAGTCTATAGTCTAGTCTATAGTCTAGTCTATAGTCTAGTCTATAGTCTAGTCTATAGTCTAGTCTATAGTCTAGTCTATAGTCTAGTCTATAGTCTAGTCTATAGTCTAGTCTATAGTCTAGTCTATAGTCTAGTCTATAGTCTAGTCTATAGTCTAGTCTATAGTCTAGTCTATAGTCTAGTCTATAGTCTAGTCTATAGTCTAGTCTATAGTCTAGTCTATAGTCTAGTCTATAGTCTAGTCTATAGTCTAGTCTATAGTCTAGTCTATAGTCTAGTCTATAGTCTAGTCTATAGTCTAGTCATATGTCTAGTCTATAGTCTAGTCTATAGTCTAGTCTATAGTCTAGTCTATAGTCCTAGTCGATAGTCTAGTCTATAGTCTAGTCCTATAGTCTAGTCTATAGTCCTAGTCTATAGTCTAGTATATAGGTCTAGTCTATAGTCTAGTCTATAGTCTAGCTATAGTCTAGTCTATAGTCTAGTCTATAGTCTAGTTATAGTCTAGTCTATAGTCTAGTCTATAGTCTAGTCTATAGTCTAGTCTATAGTCTAGTCTATCGTCTAGTCTATAGTCTAGTCTATAGTCTAGTCTATAGTCTAGTCTATAGGCTAGTCTATAGTCCTAGTCTATAGTTCTAGTCATAGTCTATGTCTATAGTCTAGTCTATAGTCTAGTCTATAGTCTAGTCTATAGGTCCTAGTCTATAGTCTAGTTCTATAGTCTAGTCTATAGTCTAGTCTATAGTCCTAAGTCTATAGTCTAGTCTATAGTCTAGTCTATAGTCATAGTCTATATCTAGTCTATAGTCTAAGTCTATAGTCTAGTCTATAGTCTAGTCTATAGTCTAGTCTATAGTCTAGTCTATAGTCTAGTCTATAGTCTAGTCTATAGTCTAGTCTATAGTCTAGTCTATAGTCTAGTCTATAGTCTAGTCTATAGTCTAGTCTATAGTCTAGTCTATAG